AAGACTAGAGGGAAGGCAGTTAATCATCACCATCCACCGCCAACTCTTTTACCAACAAATAGTGGGATTGACCGTAACTTTATAACGGCTGAAAGGGTGGAACAGGGATTCGAACCCGCGACCCTCAGATTGCGAGTCGAGCTCCCTAACAGCCTGGCTATGCCGGGCCCTCTTTATTATGAAAGGCATTAATCATTTATCTGTAGATGTTATCTTACACATTTTGTAACACAGCTGGTTCATTATACATTTTGATTTTTTTTTTTAAAAAGGTATCTACACGTTGTTTGAACTTGAGGTTTGGCGAATGAGACAGCTTAATGAGTCCTGATATTAGACATAGTTTGGTCGATATGTTATTTACACGTTCTTCCTTGCATTTACTCAAACGTTCTTAAAAGTAGCTTGAGCCTGAAATTTCATTCAATGAAATTTATTCAGGGTGACGGTAGAAAGCTGCAATTTATATGATTATATACAGTTATTATTTCAGAAACTTCTATCTCCGTTCATGTTATTATTCGGGTATCTTTAAGTTATTACTGATAATTCCATCCACTCAAATAAGGGAAAGTAGATGCAAAATATTTGAAACTAAAACCCTGAATAGGTTGCAACATCCCGATATGTAAGCTTTCTGAATTTCAGTGGCAGAATTATATTTCGAAACCAACGACCGAGTTAATGTTCTTGAAGTTGGAATACGAATATAGAAATAATGATACTTGCCCGATACCCGTGGTGGGCACAGCATTGATAGCCCGTTGTGTAGCTTTGCGCTTAACAACAAAACAAACATACAAATTATCATACGGTTCTACAATTTTGATTTCGAAACGGAACAAATATGGCAGTGATTTTGTAAAATGGATGTAACTGTAAAAAAATACAAATAACTTTAAAATTCCACGTTAAGCGAGTGTGAGAAGTAATATATGTATTAATTTTAAGAAATTATGAATTAAGTTTCAGCTTAAACTCGCAAAGTATTTTCCTACAGCACATTACCAGATCGTAAGATCCTCTTGATGACGGAAGAAGGCAACTTGGGGCTGTCTAAACGTGTTAAGTTCAAAGCTACACAGTGGACATTTGTACTGTATTACTAAGGGGAATCGAACTTCATAGGTTAGCATTGTAAATCCACATTTTTTCGCTGACACATCGAGGGACAGATGGTGTTTTAAACCCATGCTTTATAGCATTGTTTTCAGGTTCTTTGTATTAAAGACAGTGTTTTAAACCCACGCTTTATAACGTTGCTTTCAGGTCCTTTATACTAGTG